AATAGTGCCAAAAAGTTCAAGCATTTGTTATAGGAATGTATAAATAATGAAAATATAAAAAAACACCTGTCAGTTCGTGTCAGAATTAAAATCTTCAGTTTTGTCCACAATTTTTTGACATTTTAATATATATTTGTTCTTGCGTTGGCAATAACAGCGTCTACGAGGGGGGAGAATCTGTTGTTTACTAAATCCAGGGGGGAGAACACCCTTGTAGCGGGCTCACAATTGAGCCTGGTCAGTGGTAACTACCATGGCCAAAAGGAACCATGTGGCGTCAGCAGAGCTTCTGCGCTTGCGCAGAAGGGCGAAGTCCGCCATGTTTTTGGCGACAAAAAGATGGCGGCGAAGTTACCGAAAAATGACGAGCCGGTCCTCCAGGAATTATTATATAGCTCAGTGGGTCCATTGCATAATGGCGGACGACTTTGATTTCGCATTCGCATTTCGTGGGTGTAAATATCCGAGCGGAATTAGTACCCTCGCACGGTGCTCCGCACCGGCTCGGGGATTAACTAAGAATGGTTTTCGGGAGATGTTTGACATTATAGAGGCAGATATATCTGCTCATAACGAACGAAAGAATCCAATTCCTGCAGAAATTAAGCTTTTATTGACTTTACGTTATTACGCAACTGGCACGTTTCAGGAAGCATATGCGGACCTATGTGACATATCACAACTGTCTGCAAGTCGTATCCTTAAGTGCGTATCTGAGGCCATTGCTCGACTGAAAGTTCATTATATCAAATTTCCTGCTGTTGAAATGCTACAGCAAACCAAACTTGAATTCTGGAGAATATGCTCGTTTTCTAATGTTGTTGGGGCGATTGATTGTACCCATATAAAAATTCCATGCCCATGCAGAGGAGAAAACGCAGAATTGTTTAGAAATCGGAAGGGTTTTTATTAACTGAATGTTCAAGCAGTTTCTGAGCCAAATCTAGAAATACAGAACATCGTATTGCGGTGGCCAGGCAGTGTGCACGACTCGAGAATACTGGATAACAGTCGCTTGCATGTGCGCTCAGTTTGAGCGTGGTGACATCCAAGGCATGCTTCTCGGTGATAATGGCTATCCTTGTCGACCTTACTTGATGACACCTATAGCGAACCCACATACACCCCCCGAACGTAGATAACTACAACGTTTCCCAAATTCGTACAAGAAATACTGTGGAGAGGATGTTCAGGGTTTGGAAAAGGTTATTCCCCTTTCTCTCCATGTCCATTAGAACAAAACTGTCCACTACCCTTACCATTATTGTAGTGACAGCAGTCCTGTACAATTTTATAAGAAGAAGAAATGATCCTATTGGAGAAAACCTAGAGGATCCGGATGAAAAATCCTTTACCTGCTATGAGCGACTAGACCAAATCCCTGGGAAATGCAACACGTCGTGCTCTCTTAATACAGCAATTTACATGAATTTTTCAAGGAACTGCAACTCGTTTTATTTTGATATTATTATATAATGAATATGCAAGCTATATGCTTGGCCATTAACATTTTTTTTATTCCTTTGCCGTGTAAAGCGCTTCGGAAGCTCTTCTGGAGTATCAATATCAGCCGTTCTATTTTTGGTAGACGTCCAATATATTGTACTTCAAGGACCTCCATCTACTTCTGGTGTTCCTCCACAAGGTTTTTCCTCTTCAGTTGAAGAATTTCCATCTCCATTGCGTGTTGCTGTTCTTGCATATCCAAGCATCTTCTTTGCGCAGCTGACATTCTACACTTTTTGTAAGTGCGCGGATTCAGCATCTCCTCAATAACCTCTGATGTTGGTGGTCAACATTCATTGGAATTATTATATTTGTTCTTTCTTCTACTAGGGATTCATCGTCCTCTTCATTTCCAGTGGCTTCTAGGTTATCTATAGACCAACGGGGAAATATATTCTACAGACTACCGTATATACTTTAATTGTATTGTTATGGTCATAATAGTAGCTATTGATGATGATAATATATGTGGTTTTAATTGTTAAAACTGTTTTTGAAATCTAAAAAACGTGGAGAGTAATGAGTTGTGGGCAAGTATGCGTATAGGGAGGCTAAATGCTGCATGGATAGATAACAATGCTTTTATGCATACTATTCCGTATTTATACATATTCAACTTAAATATCTGTGCATATAAGTTTAAATCGAAATTAAGATCGTCATCAGCAACCTACATTTTTTTTCAGTATTATGTATATAATCTGTAACATTGAGCAGTACATATATTTATTTGCTAAAATTCACTTACCGGGTTGATAATTATCGTCATCAAATGGATTATCCAGACTATTAATTTGACTTGAAATTATTGCAACAACGGCTTCTGCACCTTCATCTCTCTCTGTCAAAGCCTTACCACCACCAGTCAGTTTGGCTTCTCTCTTCTCTTTTGCAAATACTTTTCTTCGCCTGAGACTTGATATCTTCCCAGCATTTCTTTAATTAAAGTAATTGTTTCGATTCACGCTTCTGGACACCCGCCTGACTGTTAAACTCTTCTGTCAGAGTTACCCAGGCTTTATTTTTTTGCTGTATACTTTTGTAATCGTTCCTTTTGTTCTCAAGGACATCCTTATGCTTTGCAACTAATTCTGTTATAAACGACTTCTCTAATTCAGAAAAATATAGTCTTATTTGGGACATATTGCCTGTATTGGTTATGCAGTATCCTGTCTGCACTAAAGTAAGCTACGCTTCACTGATTTTGATGACAAAGGCGAGTGCGACTCATATAAGTTATACTTGAGTGACCTCAGTGAATACAAATTGAACAACATTTGTTGAGGATGAGTGTTACCTCAATGAGCAGAACATATCGCTCACACTCCACTCATGCTCACACTTCAACTCTTCTTGAGTACACCTCACTGGAATGGCACTCAAGTGTTAGTGTGAGTAAGCTTTCAGAATACAGGCGTAAGCATGTTTATGTAGACGTTTTCAGACATTAGCATGCCTTTCCGACATTTCACAACGTCTTCAGTAGAAGTACATTGATCACACATTTTTAATAGTAGTTTTCTTCAGCTTAGTTTCTTCATATATACATTTAACTTCAAGTCTACTTTATGTTTTACTGTTAGATATCCGAGTGTATCGTCCCGAAAAACAAAATGTCGATATATAACGCCCAATCTGTATTAATTATTTTGTGTGCACAATACTGCAACCATGCCAATAGTCGTGCCTAATTTAGGAGTATGTACATAAACCTGTTCGTACGCTAATAATTATTCCTCGAAATAAATGAAAATATTTGTCATGAACGAGATAGGAATTATAGAATTATGCATAAGAATTTTAATTTGACAATTATCTGTTTCATAGTACAATACAAACAAGAGCTGGGAACATCAATGCCCTATAGTCGGTTTTCAACAAGCGATTATTTTCGTCCGAAGCGACTTCATTCATTTGTATTCAAGCAATTTGTTAGAGATGGTTGAAGTTGAGAGCTCTGATACAAAAGTAATGCCACGCGAAAATTAACGCTACTGGAAAATCACGTGGTACGTATTATCACGTGGTACGGCTTCTCACGTTGTACGTATTTTATATACAATGTTGATCAGAAACTATGTAGTATAAGATATTAAAGCAGTTCCTATCAGACAATGTGTTACACATGCAAGGTATTTGAATCTAAAACAGCAAAGGTGAGTCATTGCTGCATTTCTTTTGATGGCAAACACTTGATCGACGAAAATAACAAGAATCCTGAGAAACGATCGAACGAATATGATATGTAAATTAATAGCATTAATGTTTCACAAAAGGCGATTATAGGTGGACAAAATAGATGAAAAGTCCGTATTCTTCAAAGATAAAAAAATTAATTTCCTTTTTCCTTTATCGCCTATTTAGTTAGATTAATGTGCTAGCGCTGATTTCATCACACAAACTTTTAAATGACTGCATTAGTTATGAGTTTCAATACCAGTGGAATGTTGCTGCACAAGTCTTTGTAAGTGTACGCGTCATTAGTACTTCCGACAAAGACATTTTATTGTACACGTCATCAAAAGGGCGTCCAGTTTCAGTAGCTAACTACACAGGTATTTCGAATTTAATGCAAGGCCAGTGGCCTGGATGCATGTGTTCAAGTGTTTATCTGGACGTTCTCATACATTAGCATGCTATTCCGACAATGCTTTGCACCGTTAATTAAATCGGTCGTATAACACAAAAAAACATTGCCATGTATTTTAGAAGTGTATTGAATTCCATTGATCATACATATTTTATAGTGATAAAATTTTCTTCGTATACAACTATATTCAAACTTCTATTTTTTTTAATATAAGGATATTTATGTTGTCGTGTTGGATATCGCAGCGTCAAGACCTGAATTAAAAATGTCGATGAGGGCCTTATTTTAAGAGTTTGTATGCACAATACTGCATGACGTAATTTAACAGTATATACATCAACCTCGTACCCAGCGTTTTCCCTCTGGGGAAATGTTGCAAGGTACAACCCACTGAGCTATATTAAAACTAGCTCAGTGGTACAGCCTTATAGAAACAATAGCTTATAAACGAAAACAGTCGGGCAAAAGACGAATATACGAATATGCACCCCTCCCCCAATTAAACTTCTAGCGACGGTTCTGTGGATGATACATAGTATTACACTAAAAATTGATGTGCAGTTTTACAAACTTTGATGGAGGATCGTTGTGAAAAGATCATAAAGACTGTTTCCATTTTAATTTTTTATGCTCCAATTAGTTCCCTCTAAACAAATTTTGTTCGCTGTACTTCCAAATTATTGATCTGAGCTATAGTTTAAATTCAAGAAAATGTGAAAGCGTGCGAGATTTGGCTGATTTTAGATGAAGTAGCTAGTTGCCTACAAGCTAGGATTATGCTCCAATTAGTATAGTTTACGTTGATTGGATTTTAAAATCAAAATATCATGCAGTGTGTATATGACAGTATAGCTGTCAAAAAATTCGGTTATTCACTCAAATATACACTGTAATTTTTATCAACCCCTTTAATTAATCAATGTAAACTGAACAGTTAAATTTTACAACTGCTTAATTAGACCAATCCACTCTTATTTTCCACGTTAATAAGGGCTGAAAAGAAAAAGTTTAATTATTGCGTTAAAATATTATGGAAAAGAGAAAATAAAACATAACTCGGATTTTTTGCTCTTAATTAGTTTAAAAATGAGTGCCTGATCAGGAAGTCAAGCAAGAATCATTTTCTCCCATTATTTTTACTCTTTTCTTTGTGATATCGTTCTCCGTACGATGAAATTGACATGTTTAATTTTTCTCTTGAAATAGTTTTCACCTAGTTTAAAAAACCAACCAGGCACAAAAAACGACACATACCAACAGCAAGTTTGCCAAGGATGCGAACAAAAATACTCAGGGCATTCATAGTAATCGTCAGGACACTGAGTTTCTATGCACAAGCCACCCGGCACGGAGGAGCAAAGTTCTGAAAGATGAATACATAGAAAGTGTGTGAGAGTTAGAGAGTAAGAGATCATGAGCGATCGAGAATTTTTGTATGGCCGGGAAACCTGAAAAAGATTAACGTTTTATGCATACCCTCAGTACGTCCAAGAGATTTACCGCCATCGACATCAGAAAATGCCACGAAAAATATCAACAACAGACAAATATTCAGACGGAAATCCATTTGTGTAGAGAGAATATATCTTAAAATTAATATAGATAAATAAAATCAATTGACGAGAACAAAATACGAAATGAATTTGCTAATCTATTTATTTCAAAAATTGTTTACTGCTTTCCTGTTTGTGAAAACTGCGGATTATACAAGCCCGGTTGTAGTGTTCTCGAACTCTGGTTGAAAGGTTTTAACTAGTTCATCTTAATTATAACGAATTTTGCATAGACGTTGTGTGGTTTACGATAGTTACATGCTCAACGGGGAAATTCAATTTTTTGGACGTCCATTGAGTACATATCAGGGAGACGGTGGTATATCATGCCAGTTTAGCTGAAACGAAGGTTTAAAATAGAAAGCAAGTCTATCGTTTTAATCAACAAGCAAACGAAATGTTTTTAACCTTCATACAACGATACTGTTTACAACTACATATTCATGTAGTGCATAATATTCAAGTTGACTTATTCAAGAGAGATGCAAGAGTGTTATTATTTAGTTTGAGTTATCCCCCGTTTAGACTAAACGGGCTTAATTCATACAACCGGCCCCAGATAGTAAGAAACTGAAAACTATTCCAATAAATAAACATCCAAAATATCATAACACAAGTTGGAGCTTACCTCAGTTTGTAATCTGACAACAGTAAATATTTTAAAACTTCGTCGAGAAACTTCAGTTCGTCAATGACTTAAAGTTCTATTGACCCGAGCATATTTAGCTATCACCCGTTAGCCAAACTGTCAAAAATAATGCAGTTTGACATGCACTTCCGAGGAGGATATAGCGGTTTTTACATTGTATTGACACGTTTTCATTCAAAATAGACCTATTTTACATTCCATTTGTATATTCATATTCAAGGATGTATCTATATTTACAAGTATTCACACCTTACTCTGTCGGAAATATGTGTCTCGTCTGTACATTAACAATATCGATCAGTAACGTTCTTTCCGATGCCGCCATATTAACGAATTTGCCTAAGTAATATGAGTAGCTTTCAAACCTACAAATAATAGAAAAATGCAATAGACACAGAATAGTCAGTATAATGTCTATATATTCTGTGCTATAGTATAGATCTAAAAGTATATACAGTACTGTCCAGAAATAACCTAACAAAAACCGCCGTTAACCTAGGTCAAACCTCGGTCTGATCGCTGTTGAACCGAGGTCATACCGAGCAATTGGGGTCATACCGCGGAGAAACGGAGTTTAACATCGGCGCCTTACTCGATCTTACAGAGACATTTGGTAAGATTTTTTCGATTTGTTTATTTTGCTGACGCGCTCAGCTGGTCATAACATTTCGTTCGGAAGCGAACGGCTACGGCGAAGGCACTTTTTTCCCTTGCGGTTACGGTCGACTGCAACCGAACCGCAACCGAACCGAAACCACATGCAGTGTTAGGTGTAAATATGTTTAAGATATAATATCTATAGCATTCCAATTGTTCGATTTTCTTCATTCTTGGTAATTCGAGAGACAATCATATACGTAATCTTCAAATCTCCAGAGATGATCTCGGATGATCCAGGTGATCCCCAGGCATTTTCCTAGTCATTAACCGTTGAATTTTCAATAGATCTGACATTTTTAAAGTATCGAATTGCTTTCATAACATTATTTAGTAGAGTTACAAGTCATTTTTAATTTAATTTATTCCTAAATTACCTAAGTACAGGGAAGATGGCGTTACTTTATCCACATGCATTTTAAATCAAGACCTTGACGCTCGGATATCCAACACGAAGTAAAACATAAAGATTCTTGTGGTAAAAAACTTATATTTGGAAGATCCAATGTATTCACGAAAAAAAATTTATCACTATATAGAATGTATATGATCGATGTGCTTCTGAAAGACTTTTTTGTGTTATACGGCAGATTTAATTACGGTGCAAAGGTTATTCATTGACGGAAATGGATGGTAATTTATAAGGACATGCAGATAAACACTTTACACTTGAACCTATCTAACCACTAGCCTTGCATTACATGGCAGAAATAATGCCTTCGCAAAAGACAAAAAATTATTCTATAAGTTAATTTTGTAAAGATTATAGGCAAAAGCTTGAAATATGAAACTCAAAGGCCTCATACGTGGTAGGTCTTTGTCCTTCCTGAACAGAAACTAGTATATGTAGCATAAAAGATAATAAAGCAGTAATTTAATTTTAGACAATATAAGTTATTTAAGTTTAAGATTGCAAAGCTGAGTTATCTTTATGATGTCATTAGAAATACCTGTGTATTTAGCTACTGAAACTGGACGCGATTTTGATGATGTGTACAATAATAAAAGGTCTTTGTCGGAAGTATTAATGACGCGTGCACCTGCAAAGACTTGTGCAGCAATATTCCACTGGTACAACCATTTTGTACTTTTGCAAAACATTAATTTACATATCATAATCAGACTTTTTCGTTCGATTGTGTCTCAGGATTCTTGTTATTTTCATCGCTATCAAAAGAAATGGAGGAATAACTCAGGCCTTTGCTGTCTTAGATTCAAATACCTTGTGTAACATTCATTGTCTGATAGGAACCGCCTTAATATTTTTTATACATATAGTTTCTGATCAACCCTGAATAAAAGTAGAATATACAACTCATTAACTATGGTATTGTCTAAATTTACCAATGGCATTCGTCTTGCTTAGTTATAATCATGCAACCTTGACTTGAATAATATGTTAATTATATAAGATTGCTATTATCTTACCTGTGCAAAATACAATAGACATGTAATGAGACAATTAAGTTTTTGTATGAATCTACCTCAACATGGTTACTGAGTTGTATTGTAGGTCTGTGTGGTCTCCAAACCATGTATATTCTATTAACAGTGGATCAGCAAGGTATATAAAATACGTACGTATATAAAGAAGTGACAGCGATGTCAACCGCAACCATCTGGAACAAATTGCTCAAATACAAAACAACAAAGTCGCTTTGCACAAAAAATATCGCAAGTGGAAAAGGGGCTAAAGGCATTGCTATTCCCAGCCCTTGTTTACACTGCATATAATTAAGCAGATATAGCTAATGCAGCAATGTGAAATAAAACCTATGTACTTGTTTCATTCGTATCGTATTCATGGCAAATAGTTTCATTTATTCCGAGGAATTTTTAATATTAGTCTTATTAGTTTAATATTATTGTACGAACAGGTTTAAACACATACTGCTAAATTAGGAACGACCCATAGGCCTGCTTGCAGGTTACAATATGCAGTGTTGTGCACATGCACAAAATCTTTAATAAAGGGAGGGAGTTACCTAGCGACATCAGTTTCAATTTAGGGACGAGACACTCCTATATACAACAGAAAAACATAAAATAGACTTGCAGTTAATGTATATATGAAAAAAATAAGCTAAAGAAATCTACTATTGAAAATGTATGATCAATGTTCTTCTATACTGATCGAAGGCGTTGCGAAATGTCGGAAATACATGCCAATGTCTGAATGCGTCTACATATACTTAAACTCTAAGACATTGCTTTACATCTGGCAAAAATATTGCCGAATTGTTCAAGGCTCGAAAATATTCTATACGCATTTTGGTCGCATCGAATGCAACTCCCAAAATATTGACGATGAGATGATCTTGAAGTTTACTATTGTTTATCACCTAACTATCATTTTTCTCAATTGTGTTCGACGTGATATTTTGACGTCGTTCAATGGCTGTATGATCATAAGCGATGATAGCCTTAATTGTGCCTAGACTGATGATAAATGTAAAATCTCCTTGATGTTTCATCAGCTTCATAAATGTAATTTTCTCCACTCACTCAAAGCAGGAATGACCTTAAGATGCCACAACGAACGACGAGTATAGCCGACTACGGTTAAGGCTTTGTTTTCTAAGTGTTTAACTGAGACAAGCGATAAGGCGAATCAAATTTCCATACTCCCAATGGTATGCTTTACTACACTAATAACCTTAACTACGACATAACAGTACATATAACATCACGGTGCTTGGGGTGGTTTTGACAAAGTTAGCGTCTGGCAAAAAATGATTTCAACATGTAAACATTAAAGAACCAAATGAATCAGACAATGTGTTACACGCATGCAAGGTATTTGAATCTAAGACAGCAAAGGTGAGTCATTGCTGCATTTCTTTTCATGGTGAACATTTGATCGATTAAAATAACAAGAATCCTGAGAAACGATCGAACGAATATGATATGTAAATTAATAGTATTAATGTTTCACAAAAGGCGATTATAGGTGGACCAAATAGATGAAAAGTCCGTATTCTTCAGAGATAAACAAAATTAATTTCCTTTCACCTGTATGGCCATTTAGTTAGATTAAGGTGCTACCGCTGATTTCATCACACAAACGTTTAAATTACAGCATTAGTTATGAGTTTCAATACCAGTCTGGTATCACTGGAATATTGCTGCACAAGTCTTTGCAAGTGCACGCTTCATTATAGTAGCTACTTCCGACAATGGCCTTTCATTGTACACATCATCAAAACGGCGTCCAGTTTCAGTAGCTAATTACACAGGTATTTCGAATGGCATCATAGATATATAACTCAGCTTTGCTATCTTACAATATTAAATAACTTATTGGCTAAAAGTAACTGCTTTATTATATTTTGTACTACATATTAGTTTCTTATCAGGAAGGACATAGACATTCCACATATTGGGGCCATGAGTTTCATATTTCAAGCTTTTGACTATAATTTTTATGAAATTAATTTTTAGGATAATTTTTTTTGTCTTTCAAGAAGGCATTACTTTTGCCATGTAATGCAAGGCCAGTGGTTTGGATACGTTAAGTGTTTATTTGGACGTCCTCGTACATTAGTTATGTTAATTAAATCGGTCGTAAACACAAAAAAGTATTTTAGAAGTGTATTGAATTCTATTGATCATACATATTTCATAGTGATAAAATTTTCTTCGTATACAACTATATTCAAACTTCTAGTTTTTTTAATATAAGGATATTTATGTTGTCGTGTTGGATATTGCAGCGTCAAGGCCTGAATTAAAAATGTCGATGAGGGCCTTATTTTAAGATTTTAAGACTTCATGACGTAATTTAAGAATACATCAACCTCGTACACAGGGTTTTCCCTGTTGAGGAAATATTGTTACAACCGTAGAAACAATAGCTAATAAACCAAAACAGTCAGGCATAAGACGAATATACGAATATGCACCCCTCCCCCAATTAAACTTCTAGCGACGGTTCTGTGGATGATACATAGCATTACACTAAAAATTAATGCTCAGTTTTACAAACTTTGCTGGAGGATCGTTGTGAAAAGATCATACAGACTGTTTCCATTTTAATTTTTTATGCTCCAAAGTTCCCTCTAAGCAAATTTGTTTGCTGTGCTTCCAAATTATTGATCTGAGCTATAATTTAAATTCCCAAAAATATAAAAGCGTGCGAGATTTGAGTGATTTTAGATGAAGTAGCTAATTGCCTACTAGCTAGGATTATGTTCGTATTATTAAGTATAGTGTACGTTGATTGGATCTTAAAATCAAAATAGCATGAAGTATGTATATGACAGTAGCTGTCCAAAAAAAGCAGTTATTCACTCAAATATAAACGGTAATTTTTATTAACCCCTTTAATCAATCAATGTAAACTGAACAATTACATTTTATAACTGCATGCTTAATCAGAACATTCCAAGTATTCCACTCTCATTTTCCACGC